CCCCCTCCCTCCCCCGCTCCACCTTCGAAATGTTTGACATAACTCAAAGCATTCCAAAGCTCTCAACTGAAAACAGCAAGTTAGATTGAAAACTTCCAAATCATTTGAACATGAGCAAGATCTACATGTATGCCTATATCAAAATGCACATCAAACCATGACATGGCGCCTCTCCTTCAGTATCCGATGTGCTTCTTCCAATTATTTCTACTACGATTTTTGCGGAAGAACAGATTCCAAAGCTCTAGAGAAATTCATTCAATGAAAAGGAGAAGTGAATACTCTTCAACCAATTGATCACATGTCTTTAGCTATCGTAATTTTACGGCTAAGCACTGCATTACGACGATGTGCACAATGGGCACCTGAACTTCTAACGAATTAAGATACTGTAAAGTTACCGCTTCAGCGCTGACTTACACTATTTTTTACTCCAAGAAGGACTATGTAACAAAACAATGTCATGCAAAACTAATTAGTAGACGATGTTAGATTGATGGCCATTGTAGGGTATATAGCTACGCATAATGCTAGCATAAAATCCAGAGGCGGTATTTGCGGAGCTGCGACGACATGAAGCCTTAAGCTCCAGGTCGAATACTTGGCTTTACTGGTGGTAATATATGAAATAATTAACTTATATCTATTCAGTTATAAAAATTACAATTCTGCATTGCAAGTTGCACCAAGTCATACTTGTAATTCCATAACCACTAAAATGAGTCTAGCTTCCTATATATCTATCACAACTATCGTTTCTAATAATTTTCGTCTGCTTTGTCATTTCTATTGAAGTCATGTGATATTGGACTGACGAAGTAATCGCAATTCGGACACTTTCAGCATGTGAATAATAAAAGATATCTGGAGTTTTCAGATGATTCGTCTGTTATTCGTTTGGATTCTACTAATTGCTATAATCTGCGTGCAGGCAAAATTAACTTGTACGAAATGCCCATTCCACATAGAACCCAAAGGACATACGAAATGCACGGAAACTTGTCAAGGAGATGTTTGTTATATTGGTGAGCCAAAATAGACGTTTTGCCTTTTTTTGGGAACTTAACAATAGAGTTTCTGTTTCTAGTAGTCAATCGATTTTACAATGGAACGAAGATTGCGGGTTGTATAGACCTTTACGAGGGTGAGAAGTTCGAAACTCCAGCTGTATGTTACAGGTTTGTCATTGCCATTTTAGCTTAGCTTTGGTTAAAATACAAAATTGCAAAGATGCTACTCTTGGCACATAAGTTTTCTTATTCTGATGAAACATTCATCCTTGAGACTTTAGTCAAGTACTTTTTTTCATCGGAGGTAGCAATTCATGTTCAGGCAGGATCATCAAACGTCTTGTGCCTGCACGACGAAGGACTTCTGCAATAGCCCAACTTCTCCAATTGCCGACTTCAAATTCCAGGAAACAAAGATTTTGGATGGTCATCAGCTACAGCCGCTCGTAGGAGGTGCGGGGCATTCAGGTTAGCTTTACTAGAAGCTTCAAATGAAATAGAAAATATCTCTTTTGCAATGTTAAATAAGAATAGAATTTTTTCTTGTTTGTAGGACATATTCTAGTTGAAGCTGAGTTTTCACCTACTTGTTCAGCTTTTTTAGCTTCCATAGCTTCCTTCAAAAAAAAAACTGCTCAGCAGATATAAAGGCCAGATCTGAAATCAGTTTTTTAACGCATATCTAGTGATGCGCATTTTACGGCCGGGACCGCCAAGTATCATCCACATATTACATAGTTCGAAATCATCAAACGCCATAAAGCGATTTTGATATTAGGTATTGCTGTTTGCGTTGAACTGCAGAAAGATATATGCGAGAAACTCCGATTAAACAGTTCAGTCATACAGACATAACGCATTTTTATAAGTTATGTTAATCTATTCAGATCAAGCATCGCTGGCGACAATCAAGCCTTCAGGTGAGCACATTTGAGCAATATTACTAGTTACTTTTTGCTGAGCATATTACTTGATTCTGTATTAGAAACAAAGCATACTTATCAATATGGATCAAGATAGATGAAGTTTTGATAATTTTCGTAAAGAAGTTTGCCTCATAGATGACATCTCTTTCGCTGTGATTTGCGTTTATTTTAAGATGAAATAACGCTTAGTTATGCGCAATTCAACCGGCATCTTGGCTGCTCATTCACTTGAAACTCATTGCAAAACTGTAAATTTCCATATTATGTCCGACTATGCTTTGGTTCTGGAAAAATTGTTCCTTACCTTAAACATGAGCCTTGTTCATACAGTTAGCATGTTTTTTCCCACTTATCACTATTGATACTAACATCCTAACATCTGAATACAGTTTTTTGATACATAGAGAAGGAAGGCAATCATGCACAATCATAGTGTATGATTGATAATGAGTCATTATGTACGGTAAAATAGAACATAGATTTTTTGCAGCGGTGTTTTTGCCCAAGAGCCAGCTCACCGGTTACACTTTTCACCGGTAACCTACCGGTTACACACTGCTTTTCCTTTATAGGTATTTGTCGAGCTCAAATTCCGCGGGAGTAGTAAAGCTTTGCATGTACTTGTGATAAATCGTTAATAAAGGAGACAGGCGGTCACATTTAGGTTTAGAAGAAAGCGTAACATTCTTATGTGTCAAAAAGTCGAGCGCTTATCCAGTAAGAATCAGTTGCAAGATTGTAATATTTACAGTAGATGCGAATAGTCATCGAATTCGTGACCGCTGCTACAAAACTGATCGTTAAGAAACTTAGGATGATGTCTTATACTAAAACAAAACTTTTCTACTCTTTCTCCTTTCTAAAAAATTTGAATAGAGATAGATTTCAAATTTTCAGTGTGATGAAAATAAATTTTGCAAATAGCGGGAAATTTGCAGCTGGTTCAGTAAAGTTTTATTTTTACTTTGCTAATTTCAGGTGATGTGGACACAGCCGGAGTCAAGAACAGGTATGTTGGTCCATATAATTTCATTTAATGACAGTTTTCGAATAGGAAATTTTACTAAAAAGTTACTGGCTTTTCACCTGCTAAGTTCATGCTTGGTAGCTTAGAGATGAACTAAGAACTTGAACAACTTGCTAGGACAGTAGCTAACGGTGAATAAAACAGAGCCATGTTTTAAAGAGTATAACGAACTTGGAAAAAGTTCTCACATAACAGTTCTCATGAGTTTGGTGTAGATTGGGATGCTGTAAATAAGTGGAGGTTGACGTTGTCTACGTATCAAATAAGGCGATGAAATATTTTTATCCTTAAAATGACACTTCACTGTCGGTTTGTACCTCACACCAATTTGGTTTCCATCCTT